GCAAACGTTGAAACTGATTTACACCGGCAAGCAACAAAATGACCAGAAAAAACTGAACTAGCTGTAGACTCGAATTTCTTACCGGTTACATCTATGGATGCCAATTGTTTGTTCATAGTTCTATACCTTCTGAAAGTCACAAAACTAGACGCCGTATTACATCAGAACGAAAAGCAAAATGCTTTCTATCTACTAGAAATAGCCAGAATGCAAGCAAATTATGCAAAATAACTTAATCTATGCACACAGTTTCTTTACCGGCTCATATAACATAACACTTCTATATAAAAAAATTTTAGCAGCGAAAATCTTTACTATTTCAATATTGAAACAGGCAACTCAGATCTAAAAATATAGCTGGAATATCAAACTATAAATTTCAACGTTAACAACATGATAATTAGTTTGCTGAATCATTTTAAAGAATTGGGAAATTAGAATAGAAAGATAAAAGAGAGATAATGTTAAAAACAGAGCAGGAGTTGATGATCTACAACAAAACACTCCCATTGAGCGAAGGACCTTGAAGGATACTGATTGCGTCTTATCTGTGTGATTGCTACGACTCAAGTCTATAACAACCAAACTTTGGTACATCAGTAGCAAAAGATAGGAGTTAGTGGAGTTTCTTGACTTTTTCGGATCATCATTTGCTCTTGACGTGTTGTGTATTAACCTTTTAGTTATACGTATTATATCTTTTTCGCTGGCTTTTTCGTTCTGACAGTTATATTATTATGAAAGACGAAAGTTAAGAACAGAACATCGAAATGAGTCATAACGATTGGGTAGCAACCAACCACGAGCTGTTGCAAATAGAGTTCATTATTTTTTCAACATGGCGACTGATGGATGTATACGAGATGTTATTTGCAGGTTATTTCGATTTCCTGTATACACTAGGTAACGCTCATCTACGATTCGCTCGGTCCCTTGACTTAAGCTGCGCAAAGCTACACTAACGGCTGCATCAGTCTGTTACCCAACATTGTTTTCACAACTACGATATAAACTCGCGCCTTCCTTCGGCTGGGCCTCGCAACAAATTTGTTGATCTGTTAATTGTTGCTCAACACACTAGAGGATTACTTTAAGCATTCAGCACTCATCTACAGATTACTTTTAGTCAGATACGAATATCCCCAAGTTCCACTAGAAGGAAAAGTTTTCTGAAGTCCTTCGGAATCCCACGTTTCTCACTAATTATTGTCTGAAAACACACCACAATTTTCACTCGTCGAAAAACACGCGGAATACTGAAAGTTTTCTGGAAACCCCAGCCTCTTAGGACTACTCCTCATAGATGCTTAGTGTTTAACTATTTATTTAGGTGTAGTTCCTTCGTGATTATTCTAGAGTTTTCACTTATTTGAGACAACTTTTTCGCTTTCAGCACTTTTCACACTTATCATGGCGCCCTCTCTTGCATTCAGCTTTTTACATTTAATTCTGGTAAATTAAACGTATTTAGCTTGACGCTCTCTTCGTTGTCTTTTACATAGCTTCGAAATATTTAAAATAAAATTATCGTTTACGGCGATTTCATCAACGGACGTTTTCTGGAAAAAATGCCTCTTAGTCCACTGCACGTCAGCATTACTCGCCATCTGGAGCGCCTTCTTCTTCGGGTATTAAAGTCAACCCAATACGAAGTTATAAAAGAAGATCCGAATATATTTTCTGAAAATATGTTAGAACCAAACTGCAGACATAAGTGTGCTCGAAGGATATGTTAAAACAATGACGTCTCATCCCACACAAGAACGTTACGTTACTTGTTGAAGTGAAATTTATAGTAAGTGGCTTTACCTTAAACTAGGTTTATTAAAACAACAAATCGAGCTATGCTCATTACATGTTGTGACAATTTGATCAAAAGAGAAATACAATGGCTTTATCATCGCTTAATATTGATCGTGAAATGAAACATCAGATATACGCGGAACATGAGTTTGGATAGCTGAGTTCTGGATCGTTGATCTTGTTCATTTTGTCGTTCATGTTTACAAACAACCAAATAAAGAATCAAAATTATACGAAAACGTCCAAACGTACACGTGAGGTCAGCGAACACTATCTGTTTCAGCATCTGTTGAAGTTAGCGTCGATGATATTTTTTTGTAAGGTAAGCAAATTACATTATGACTATTTAGGTGTTATAATTAAGAACTCGACCCGAGTTCTTAACAGAACATTGTTCTGTCGTCCTCGTATTACGCAACTTGCGTCTTTCGTCCCATCTCTAGATAAATATCCTTATTTAGCACTGGGTATTTTACAACATAAGAATGTGTTATTTAGAATTTAATCGATATTTATTATTTTCATCCAAATATAAATATTTTACTAGTTTCATTAGAAAAAAACAAAATTAATGATTGATATGATTTTCATTAATTTTTTAGTTCATTTTTACCTGATTTACAAACTATTTGTATGCGTCAAAATAAAATTGAAAGTTGAATGAACAAAATATATGTAGACAAATTAAAAAGATAACTTGAAGATACCTGACGATGTAATACTATTGAGTATCTTCAAAAGCTTTGATTAAAATCCCAACTTTATCTAATAAATCGTTGACTAAGACTAAGGCTAAGACTGTTTTATTCACGAAAAGTGTGAGTCATCAAAGGTCACCGACCTGTAATAACAATGACTCAAGCCAAGCAACATCAAAAGAGTAAAAATAGAACAGAATAAACAAGACAACTAACGTTAGGACCAGAAGTAGTAAAAAGGAAAAAAAAGAAAGTAAAAAAGTTTTTTTTAAAAGAAAATAAGAAAAAAAGAACAAATATAAATTCATAACTGACATGTTTCACTGAAGTAAAGCTGTTTTGAAAGACGTTAAAGAAGAAAGACAAATAACTGACTCTGGGAGATTATTCCAATCAACAATAGTTGAATAAAAAAAAGAAGAGTGCACCGTTTGCAGAGAAAAACCATCAACAGAAGATGGAATGCGAAGTCGCTAATTGTCTAAAGTCCAGCTAGGATTGTTGCTGTATGATGATGCCTCACCCTTTACCCTCCACTATCTATGACTTTTTTTTGTGAACAAGCGTGGAATTCTGTGTAACTTTCTATGCACAAGACAGGAGTGTTGAAATTTTCGCGGCTATTATGTCTGTATAAAGTGGGCGGACCTGAATGGAAGTACCCGAAAATGAAAACTGTGTTGTTCGAAACATCGAAATAATTTTAATTAATAAATGACAATAAAATGAAGCTGAGAATAGCTACTGTTACAATAGTGTTTCTATGGATTATCTTGTACCTTTAGCTCCCTGTAAACTTCGTTCGTTGATGTCCTTCAGTCCAGATAACCAGTTTTGTGCGACGTCTATCTTGTAGCGTAGAAAAAAGTGGTTGTTACTGTCATATCACCCTTTTGTTTTATTTGTTTGGCATTTTACTTTAGTTTATTTTTCTTTGTATAGCACTTCTGTATCTTTTGCATTAATATGTTGCTCGTGTATTGATTGGTCAGCCTATGAATGTTATTCCATACTTTCCATTTCCATGTTTTGCGGAGGGACGGAACGCAAAAAGATTTTGTAATATCCTAGACCAAAGTCAAGGGAATAATAGGATACTAAATATTTTCTATCATATTTTCCTGAGTTATGCAATATCTGGAAATTTAAACAAAACCATCTTTGAAAACTGACCCTTTATTTTTGTTTGGAATGTTTCATTCTGTTCTGTTTCATCCGATCGGGTTCTATGTCTACTACATTCATGTGTCAAGACAAAGAAAACATTAAGAAATGAGACTTTAAGGGTAAAAGCAGTTCCATTACACTTTCAAGTGTACTGTAAAGTAATTTGTACTTTTGGTTTAATTTTGGCTCAGGTATTAAGTATTACTAATTTATGTAACTTTTTATGTTTTCGTTTCTCATTTTCTCTTTCCTTCCATCTTACTCATTTATCGCTTATACATACGTCATTAGCCGTTAACGCACACAGATAGCCTATAGAGAGGAAAAGAAATTCCAGTACCGGCGAAAAGAATTTTCTACAAATAATGTATTTTACTATATGTACTGTATAGCATTATAGTGTATTATTGATGATGAATCGTTTGATCTGGAAGCTCAAATTTAACTAGATAGCATTTTTTTTATTGTTGTTTTCTTCTCATGAGAGAAACGTTAATTTGTTTTTTATCATTTGTGTGAACATTTTTTTTCATTTTACTTGAAAGAAAGTAAAACAACTTTAAAATGAGTACTTTATTTCTGTTAAAGATTACTATGTACTCAACTGCTTTTCGTCCTACACGGATATGTGTTCATATACATTCTTTGAACTTCTCATACTTTTCTCATAATCATCTACTCTACTCTATTTTATATAATCTCTTTTTATTGATCATTAGTCCCCTTTTTACCCATTCGGTCACAAGTGCTCTGGTCCTTCGATTACTGATACCCTATTCGAAGGCAGTGTATACGTAAATTTTCTTTTTTTTGCGAATATACAAATTCTGAAAAAAAGCTGTTTTCTGTTTTTTTCGCAAAGTGTAAAACGGAGTATTCATTCACCTGCCAGGGCGTACCGTACACTAGAGATCTGCGCCCATGCTTTTTTCTGATCTTCTTCTCATGTTCATACGTGCTGGATGAAAAAACACCTATATGCATGTTTATACTTAGTTAACTCAAATGAAGATATACCGAGGCTGTACCCCATCTCAAAAATTTTGCCCGTTTTCAACACGTGACTAGGTATTTTTCCTTATGCATCAATGATGACTCATCATGCCCTACAAAAGTTATTTACGCTACTCGTGCAGCTTTTCTCAGACTGTTGATGATCAGATCTCTGATGGGACTCTCATCTATTACGCTGTTTATTCTTAAAAGCCTGTAGTTCTCTCTCTATTGTTCTTACCACCGTTGTACAATGCACTTTGTTTTAAATCAAACATTAACTCTTTCTTTACGTCCAATTCAATGCAAACAGAGTTTGTTTAATTGTTATTGTTTTAGATGCAAAACTATCGTTTACGGTGTCAACTGTATGGACACGAAGCTGATGTACGTTGCGTGGCATGTATAAGTGATGGCATCGTTAGTGCTTCAAGGGATAAAACAACAAGAATATGGCGTCCTTCAGGGTAATATGATAAGCTTATAGCTTCACACATTTCTTAATCTCAAATGAAATTTCTTTTTATTTTCTGTTAGTTCATCATTCGAACAGCATGCCGTATTAAGGGATCATCAAAATTTTGTTGTTAGTATATGTTACATACCACCAAATGAAAAGTTTAGTGAAGGATTATTGGCTACTGGTAGTAATGACAAAACCATATGCGTTTATGCACCAGTACAAGCAACATTATTATTCAAACTGGAAGGCCACGAACAAACCGGTAAGACTACTTTTCTAGAGATTATCTTCTGATCTCATATTTTCTCCCCTTTCCCTTTTTTTCTCGAAGAGAAAAGCCTTATAGATAATTGGTAAGAAAAAACAGAGATATCACCAGAAAAAACCTGCATGCTTTGCGCGTCTAACGGCTTTTTGTCAGGCCAGATTTAAGCGTTCATATTCTGTTGGGCGCGTATTTCTTTCCGTCTTTAAAAAAATGAAATCTAAAAGCTGGATTCTACCGTTTTAACTTTTTCAAAGAGCTTGTTGAAGTTGACTTAACATGTTTTTTCACGCTTTCCTATAATCGGTTGTGCTGAATAAAACTTTCGTTTTGTCCAATTATGCTGATGTATTATTTTTTTCTTAGTTTCTTGCCTGTCACATATTCTGCGGAGCGATGTGTTGGTAAGTGGGTCGTGGGACAATACCGTCCGACTTTGGTCACTATCAAGTCAGCAATGTGTGCAAATTCTGAAAGGTAAGAATCTTTTAATTTCTTTGCTTCCTCACATTTTTAGTGATACATTGAGCATTTTTACTATGCCACGTGGGCATGCAACTTTTTCTAGACAGAAACGATTTTTTCTTCATCGAAACAGTAGTTGAAATTCGGAGAATGTTTTTTTTTAAACGAATAAAACGGTTTTCAAAAAACATTTTTTTCGAGCCAAAACGGTTGAGGGAACTCTTGCCCACATTTTTCGTCAAAATATGATTTCTTACACAGTATTCGATGTAGTTTTAAGTGCTGAATCCGATTATGACCTTATTTTTTCTTGAAAGCGTTTCTGAGCCGAGAAAATCAGGTTTCATTCGAAAGAACATAGGTTTTTGGAAAACTTTCTGAGCGATTCAGAAACGTCTGTGCTACTTTGTGTTAACTGCGTTGAGCCAGCATAGTCTGTCGAGCATTTTGAAACGCGTTTGAAAAATGGATGTGGGTAGATTTCACGCTTTAATAATCATAGTAGTTAGGAAACATTGTTAGTCTGAAAGATACATGTTTTCTCCGTGCTTAGGCATGCACCAATACAATATATTGGGTCCCAATAATATTGGTCACCCAATCTATTGGAACCAATAATATTGGTCACACAATCTATTGGAACCAATAATATTGGTCACCCAATCTATTGGAACCAATAATATTGGTCACACAATCTATTGGAACCAATAATATTGGTCACACAATCTATTGGAACCAATAATATTGGTCACACAATCTATTGGATTTTCACAATATTATTGGGTATTGGATCAATTGAGTTCGGCCTACTGTTACAGTACGGACGCATGCTTTATATCCCGCTTTGAA